TTATCGCTGTCAAATAACAAGATGGATAAGAACTATAATCTGTTGTCAATCCGTCAGTATACCACGATTGAGATAGAGGTAGCATTGTTGATGTTGAATCCTCACTTGTGTTTTCTGTTGTAAAAATATGCAAACATTTTGTTACTTTCAAAAATGCAACTTGAACTACTTAACTTGAATAAATTAAACATCAATTAAAAGAACATTAACAAAAAGCTTGTTCTTACATGTTAATCACAAATGAAAAAGAAAAACACAAAGTTTATCATGTTTAAACGTAGTTTAAACAATTTTTAAACCAAATAGAAATTGCTTAAACACACAAATCTTAAAGCTCTGTCACTAAAGAAACTGTTAAAACAAACAACTCTAAAGTAACGCAAAGCCGATCAAAAAGTTTGAAATTTTGAAAAAATTATAATAAAGAGGGCCCCGTAAACAACCCTGTCTTTAGACATGGTTATAAAGTAAACAAAAACTATTCATACCTGTCGACGATTTTAAAGAAATAGAACTACGTGTTGGACTAATAAACGAATTGTAACTCAAACTGGTTGTTAAATAACCATGTGATGCTAAACTTCTTAAAGAATAAGATGAGTCGACTTGAGCGAACCCATCAACAGTTGTTAAAGCACTAGTGTACCATGTTGGATCATAACGCTTGATTGTAGTCAAAGAATCAGACGTCTCTATCGAAGAAAAAATCAAGAAATTATCTTTGTACTTTTAAGTCTAGATGAGGAAAACAATTTTATTTCACTCATAATTTAACACTTCAACTTATGATAATCAAGTACCTATTAAATTAAAAGGTACAAAAAATATATAGCAGTTTGAATGAAATATCTAAAGAACCATACAATTTTTTAGCACATATCTACGAAAAGCCATTGGTATACTATAAAATAGATGGTACTTTCCTATTCAAGGTTAAAAAACACTCTATTAACTAGTGAGTGCTTAATGCTGTTTTCATAAAAATGCAACTCTCACAGTAAATAAAAAAACTCTAATACAAAATACAAACGCCATCTTCTAAAAAAAAAAAGTCTCAAAGTGAACAACTCCAAAGCATTGTATAGAAAATCATATAACTATTAAATAAAACATAGCACTTGCAGAGACAGTTTTCAAAAGGGAACTTACACACCAACTATGTTACAAAATAGAGTACAAATTCATAAACCACTCCGAATATTTTATAACTTATTCAACTATGTAAACATAAAAAAGAAATTCAACGAACAGTATATCAAATAAGATGCCTCCCATCAAAACACTAAAACCAGCAAATATAAAACTAATTTCTATAAGAGTGACAAAGGTTTTCTTGAAAAACTTACTCAATAAAACATAAAAACGTTAAAAACCTTTCTTTGTTGTAAAAACAGCTGCATTTGTCGTTCCAACATCAATTATGGGTGAAATTGCTGTTGTTCTTGTGGAATCACATATACGAGAGTGATGTGTTGAAGTTATCGCTGTCAAATAACAAGATGGATAAGAACTATAATCTGTTGTCAATCCGTCAGTATACCACGATTGAGATAGAGGTAGCATTGTTGATGTTAAATCCTCACTTGTGTTTTCTGTTGTAAAAATATGCAAACATTTTGTTACTTTCAAAAATGCAACTTGAACTACTTAACTTGAATAAATTAAACATCAATTAAAAGAACATTAACAAAAAGCTTGTTCTTACATGTTAATCACAAATGAAAAAGAAAAACACAAAGTTTATCATGTTTAAACGTAGTTTAAACAATTTTTAAACCAAATAGAAATTGCTTAAACACACAAATCTTAAAGCTCTGTCACTAAAGAAACTGTTAAAACAAACAACTCTAAAGTAACGCAAAGCCGATCAAAAAGTTTGAAATTTTGAAAAAATTATAATAAAGAGGGCCCCGTAAACAACCCTGTCTTTAGACATGGTTATAAAGTAAACAAAAACTATTCATACCTGTCGACGATTTTAAAGAAATAGAACTACGTGTTGGACTAATAAACGAATTGTAACTCAAACTGGTTGTTAAATAACCATGTGATGCTAAACTTCTTAAAGAATAAGATGAGTCGACTTGAGCGAACCCATCAACAGTTGTTAAAGCACTAGTGTACCATGTTGGATCATAACGCTTGATTGTAGTCAAAGAATCAGACGTCTCTATCGAAGAAAAAATCAAGAAATTATCTTTGTACTTTCAAGTCTAGATGAGGAAAACAATTTTATTTCACTCATAATTTAACACTTCAACTTATGATAATCAAGTACCTATTAAATTAAAAGGTACAAAAAATATATAGCAGTTTGAATGAAATATCTAAAGAACCATACAATTTTTTAGCACATATATTCGAAAAGCCATTGGTATACTATAAAATAGATGGTACTTTCCTATTCAAGGTTAAAAAACACTCTATTAACTAGTGAGTGCTTAATGCTGTTTTCATAAAAATGCAACTCTCACAGTAAATAAAAAAACTCTAATACAAAATACAAACGCCATCTTCTAAAAAAAAAAAGTCTCAAAGTGAACAACTCCAAAGCATTGTATAGAAAATCATATAACTATTAAATAAAACATAGCACTTGCAGAGACAGTTTTCAAAAGGGAACTTACACACCAACTATGTTACAAAATAGAGTACAAATTCATAAACCACTCCGAATATTTTATAACTTATTCAACTATGTAAACATAAAAAAGAAATTCAACGAACAGTATATCAAATAAGATGCCTCCCATCAAAACACTAAAACCAGCAAATATAAAACTAATTTCTATAAGAGTGACAAAGGTTTTCTTGAAAAACTTACTCAATAAAACATAAAAACGTTAAAAACCTTTCTTTGTTGTAAAAACAGCTGCATTTGTCGTTCCAACATCAATTATGGGTGAAATTGCTGTTGTTCTTGTGGAATCACATATACGAGAGTGATGTGTTGAAGTTATCGCTGTCAAATAACAAGATGGATAAGAACTATAATCTGTTGTCAATCCGTCAGTATACCACGATTGAGATAGAGGTAGCATTGTTGATGTTAAATCCTCACTTGTGTTTTCTGTTGTAAAAATATGCAAACATTTTGTTACTTTCAAAAATGCAACTTGAACTACTTAACTTGAATAAATTAAACATCAATTAAAAGAACATTAACAAAAAGCTTGTTCTTACATGTTAATCACAAATGAAAAAGAAAAACACAAAGTTTATCATGTTTAAACGTAGTTTAAACAATTTTTAAACCAAATAGAAATTGCTTAAACACACAAATCTTAAAGCTCTGTCACTAAAGAAACTGTTAAAACAAACAACTCTAAAGTAACGCAAAGCCGATCAAAAAGTTTGAAATTTTGAAAAAATTATAATAAAGAGGGCCCCGTAAACAACCCTGTCTTTAGACATGGTTATAAAGTAAACAAAAACTATTCATACCTGTCGACGATTTTAAAGAAATAGAACTACGTGTTGGACTAATAAACGAATTGTAACTCAAACTGGTTGTTAAATAACCATGTGATGCTAAACTTCTTAAAGAATAAGATGAGTCGACTTGAGCGAACCCATCAACAGTTGTTAAAGCACTAGTGTACCATGTTGGATCATAACGCTTCATTGTAGTCAAAGAATCAGACGTCTCTATCGAAGAAAAAATCAAGAAATTATCTTTGTACTTTCAAGTCTAGATGAGGAAAACAATTTTATTTCACTCATAATTTAACACTTCAACTTATGATAATCAAGTACCTATTAAATTAAAAGGTACAAAAAATATATAGCAGTTTGAATGAAATATCTAAAGAACCATACAATTTTTTAGCACATATCTACGAAAAGCCATTGGTATACTATAAAATAGATGGTACTTTCCTATTCAAGGTTAAAAAACACTCTATTAACTAGTGAGTGCTTAATGCTGTTTTCATAAAAATGCAACTCTCACAGTAAATAAAAAAACTCTAATACAAAATACAAACGCCATCTTCTAAAAAAAAAAAGTCTCAAAGTGAACAACTCCAAAGCATTGTATAGAAAATCATATAACTATTAAATAAAACATAGCACTTGCAGAGACAGTTTTCAAAAGGGAACTTACACACCAACTATGTTACAAAATAGAGTACAAATTCATAAACCACTCCGAATATTTTATAACTTATTCAACTATGTAAACATAAAAAAGAAATTCAACGAACAGTATATCAAATAAGATGCCTCCCATCAAAACACTAAAACCAGCAAATATAAAACTAATTTCTATAAGAGTGACAAAGGTTTTCTTGAAAAACTTACTCAATAAAACATAAAAACGTTAAAAACCTTTCTTTGTTGTAAAAACAGCTGCATTTGTCGTTCCAACATCAAATATGGGTGAAATTGCTGTTGTTCTTGTGGAATCACATATACGAGAGTGATGTGTTGAAGTTATCGCTGTCAAAAAACAAGATGGATAAGAACTATAATCTATTGTCAATCCGTCAGTATACCACGATTGAGATAGAGGTAGCATTGTTGATGTTGAATCCTCACTTGTGTTTTCTGTTGTAAAAATTTGCAAACATTTTGTTACTTTCAAAAATGCAACTTGAACTACTTAACTTGAATAAATTAAACATCAATTAAAAGAACATTAACAAAAAGCTTGTTCTTACATGTTAATCACAAATGAAAAAGAAAAACACAAAGTTTATCATGTTTAAACGTAGTTTAAACAATTTTTAAACCAAATAGAAATTGCTTAAACACACAAATCTTAAAGCTCTGTCACTAAAGAAACTGTTAAAACAAACAACTCTAAAGTAACTCAAAGCCGATCAAAAAGTTTGAAATTTTGAAAAAATTATAATAAAGAGGGCCCCGTAAACAACCCTGTCTTTAGACATGGTTATAAAGTAAACAAAAACTATTCCTACCTGTCGACGATTTTAAAGAAATAGAACTACGTGTTGGACTAATAAACGAATTGTAACTCAAACTGGTTGTTAAATAACCATGTGATGCTAAACTTCTTAAAGAATAAGATGAGTCGACTTGAGCGAACCCATCAACAGTTGTTAAAGCACTAGTGTACCATGTTGGATCATAACGCTTGATTGTAGTCAAAGAATCAGACGTCTCTATCGAAGAAAAAATCAAGAAATTATCTTTGTACTTTTAAGTCTAGATGAGGAAAACAATTTTATTTCACTCATAATTTAACACTTCAACTTATGATAATCAAGTACCTATTAAATTAAAAGGTACAAAAAATATATAGCAGTTTGAATGAAATATCTAAAGAACCATACAATTTTTTAGCACATATCTACGAAAAGCCATTGGTATACTATAAAATAGATGGTACTTTCCTATTCAAGGTTAAAAAACACTCTATTAACTAGTGAGTGCTTAATGCTGTTTTCATAAAAATGCAACTCTCACAGTAAATAAAAAAACTCTAATACAAAATACAAACGCCATCTTCTAAAAAAAAAAGTCTCAAAGTGAACAACTCCAAAGCATTGTATAGAAAATCATATAACTATTAAATAAAACATAGCACTTGCAGAGACAGTTTTCAAAAGGGAACTTACACACCAACTATGTTACAAAATAGAGTACAAATTCATAAACCACTCCGAATATTTTATAACTTATTCAACTATGTAAACATAAAAAAGAAATTCAACGAACAGTATATCAAATAAGATGCCTCCTATCAAAACACTAAAACCAGCAAATATAAAACTAATTTCTTTAAGAGTGACAAAGGTTTTCTTAAAAAACTTACTCAATAAAACATAAAAACGATAAAAACCTTTCTTTGTTGTAAAAACAGCTGCATTTGTCGTTCCAACATCAATTATGGGTGAAATTGCTGTTGTTCTTGTGGAATCACATATACGAGAGTGATGTGTTGAAGTTATCGCTGTCAAATAACAAGATGGATAAGAACTATAATCTGTTGTCAATCCGTCAGTATACCACGATTGAGATAGAGGTAGCATTGTTGATGTTGAATCCTCACTTGTGTTTTCTGTTGTAAAAATATGCAAACATTTTGTTACTTTCAAAAATGCAACTTGAACTACTTAACTTGAATAAATTAAACATCAATTAAAAGAACATTAACAAAAAGCTTGTTCTTACATGTTAATCACAAATGAAAAAGAAAAACACAAAGTTTATCATGTTTAAACGTAGTTTAAACAATTTTTAAACCAAATAGAAATTGCTTAAACACACAAATCTTAAAGCTCTGTCACTAAAGAAACTGTTAAAACAAACAACTCTAAAGTAACGCAAAGCCGATCAAAAAGTTTGAAATTTTGAAAAAATTATAATAAAGATGGCCCCGTAAACAACCCTGTCTTTAGACATGGTTATAAAGTAAACAAAAACTATTCATACCTGTCGACGATTTTAAAGAAATAGAACTACGTGTTGGACTAATAAACGAATTGTAACTCAAACTGGTTGTTAAATAACCATGTAATGCTAAACTTCTTAAAGAATAAGATGAGTCGACTTGAGCGAACCCATCAACAGTTGTTAAAGCACTAGTGTACCATGTTGGATCATAACGCTTGATTGTAGTCAAAGAATCAGACGTCTCTATCGAAGAAAAAATCAAGAAATTATCTTTGTACTTTCAAGTCTAGATGAGGAAAACAATTTTATTTCACTCATAATTTAACACTTCAACTTATGATAATCAAGTACCTATTAAATTAAAAGGTACAAAAAATATATAGCAGTTTGAATGAAATATCTAAAGAACCATACAATTTTTTAGCACATATCTACGAAAAGCCATTGGTATACTATAAAATAGATGGTACTTTCCTATTCAAGGTTAAAAAACACTCTATTAACTAGTGAGTGCTTAATGCTGTTTTCATAAAAATGCAACTCTCACAGTAAATAAAAAAACTCTAATACAAAATACAAACGCCATCTTCTAAAAAAAAAAGTCTCAAAGTGAACAACTCCAAAGCATTGTATAGAAAATCATATAACTATTAAATAAAACATAGCACTTGCAGAGACAGTTTTCAAAAGGGAACTTACACACCAACTATGTTACAAAATAGAGTACAAATTCATAAACCACTCCGAATATTTTATAACTTATTCAACTATGTAAACATAAAAAAGAAATTCAACGAACAGTATATCAAATAAGATGCCTCCTATCAAAACACTAAAACCAGCAAATATAAAACTAATTTCTATAAGAGTGACAAAGGTTTTCTTGAAAAACTTACTCAATAAAACATAAAAACGTTAAAAACCTTTCTTTGTTGTAAAAACAGCTGCATTTGTCGTTCCAACATCAATTATGGGTGAAATTGCTGTTGTTCTTGTGGAATCACATATACGAGAGTGATGTGTTGAAGTTATCGCTGTCAAATAACAAGATGGATAAGAACTATAATCTGTTGTCAATCCGTCAGTATACCACGATTGAGATAGAGGTAGCATTGTTGATGTTGAATCCTCACTTGTGTTTTCTGTTGTAAAAATATGCAAACATTTTGTTACTTTCAAAAATGCAACTTGAACTACTTAACTTGAATAAATTAAACATCAATTAAAAGAACATTAACAAAAAGCTTGTTCTTACATGTTAATCACAAATGAAAAAGAAAAACACAAAGTTTATCATGTTTAAACGTAGTTTAAACAATTTTTGAACCAAATAGAAATTGCTTAAACACACAAATCTTAAAGCTCTGTCACTAAAGAAACTGTTAAAACAAACAACTCTAAAGTAACGCAAAGCCGATCAAAAAGTTTGAAATTTTGAAAAAATTATAATAAAGAGGGCCCCGTAAACAACCCTGTCTTTAGACATGGTTATAAAGTAAACAAAAACTATTCATACCTGTCGACGATTTTAAAGAAATAGAACTACGTGTTGGACTAATAAACGAATTGTAACTCAAACTGGTTGTTAAATAACCATGTGATGCTAAACTTCTTAAAGAATAAGATGAGTCGACTTGAGCGAACCCATCAACAGTTGTTAGAGCACTAGTGTACCATGTTGGATCATAACGCTTGATTGTAGTCAAAGAATCAGACGTCTCTATCGAAGAAAAAATCAAGAAATTATCTTTGTACTTTTAAGTCTAGATGGGGAAAACAATTTTATTTCACTCATAATTTAACACTTCAACTTATGATAATCAAGTACCTATTAAATTAAAAGGTACAAAAAATATATAGCAGTTTGAATGAAATATCTAAAGAACCATACAATTTTTTAGCACATATCTACGAAAAGCCATTGGTATACTATAAAATAGATGGTACTTTCCTATTCAAGGTTAAAAAACACTCTATTAACTAGTGAGTGCTTAATGCTGTTTTCATAAAAATGCAACTCTCACAGTAAATAAAAAAACTCTAATACAAAATACAAACGCCATCTTCTAAATAAAAAAGTCTCAAAGTGAACAACTCCAAAGCATTGTATAGAAAATCATATAACTATTAAATAAAACATAGCATTTGCAGAGACAGTTTTCAAAAGGGAACTTACACACCAACTATGTTACAAAATAGAGTACAAATTCATAAACCACTCCGAATATTTTATAACTTATTCAACTATGTAAACATAAAAAAGAAATTCAACGAACAGTATATCAAATAAGATGCCTCCTATCAAAACACTAAAACCAGCAAATATAAAACTAACTTCTATAAGAGTGACAAAGGTTTTCTTGAAAAACTCACTCAATAAAACATAAAAACGTTAAAAACCTTTCTTTGTTGTAAAAACAGCTGCATTTGTCGTTCCAACATCAATTATGGGTGAAATTGCTGTTGTTCTTGTGGAATCACATATACGAGAGTGATGTGTTGAAATTATCGCTGTCAAATAACAAGATGGATAAGAACTATAATCTGTTGTCAATCCGTCAGTATACCACGATTGAGATAGAGGTAGCATTGTTGATGTTGAATCCTCACTTGTGTTTTCTGTTGTAAAAATATGCAAACATTTTGTTACTTTCAAAAATGCAACTTGAACTACTTAACTTGAATAAATTAAACATCAATTAAAAGAACATTAACAAAAAGCTTGTTCTTACATGTTAATCACAAATGAAAAAGAAAAACACAAAGTTTATCATGTTTAAACGTAGTTTAAACAATTTTTAAACCAAATAGAAATTGCTTAAACACACAAATCTTAAAGCTCTGTCACTAAAGAAACTGTTAAAACAAACAACTCTAAAGTAACGCAAAGCCGATCAAAAAGTTTGAAATTTTGAAAAAATTATAATAAAGAGGGCCCCGTAAACAACCCTGTCTTTAGACATGGTTATAAAGTAAACAAAAACTATTCATACCTGTCGACGATTTTAAAGAAATAGAACTACGTGTTGGACTAATAAACGAATTGTAACTCAAACTGGTTGTTAAATAACCATGTGATGCTAAACTTCTTAAAGAATAAGATGAGTCGACTTGAGCGAACCCATCAACAGTTGTTAAAGCACTAGTGTACCATGTTGGATCATAACGCTTGATTGTAGTCAAAGAATCAGACGTCTCTATCGAAGAAAAAATCAAGAAATTATCTTTGTACTTTCAAGTCTAGATGGGGAAAACAATTTTACTTCACTCATAATTTAACACTTCAACTTATGATAATCAAGTACCTATTAAATTAAAAGGTACAAAAAATATATAGCAGTTTGAATGAAATATCTAAAGAACCATACAATTTTTTAGCACATATATTCGAAAAGCCATTGGTATACTATAAAATAGATGGTACTTTCCTATTCAAGGTTAAAAAACACTCTATTAACTAGTGAGTGCTTAATGCTGTTTTCATAAAAATGCAACTCTCACAGTAAATAAAAAAACTCTAATACAAAATACAAACGCCATCTTCTAAAAAAAAAAGTCTCAAAGTGAACAACTCCAAAGCATTGTATAGAAAATCATATAACTATTAAATAAAACATAGCACTTGCAGAGACAGTTTTCAAAAGGGAACTTACACACCAACTATGTTACAAAATAGAGTACAAATTCATAAACCACTCCGAATATTTTATAACTTATTCAACTATGTAAACATAAAAAAGAAATTCAACGAACAGTATATCAAATAAGATGCCTCCTATCAAAACACTAAAACCAGCAAATATAAAACTAATTTCTATAAGAGTGACAAAGGTTTTCTTAAAAAACTTACTCAATAAAACATAAAAACGTTAAAAACCTTTCTTTGTTGTAAAAACAGCTGCATTTGTCGTTCCAACATCAATTATGGGTGAAATTGCTGTTGTTCTTGTGGAATCACATATACGAGAGTGATGTGTTGAAGTTATCGCTGTCAAATAACAAGATGGATAAGAACTATAATCTGTTGTCAATCCGTCAGTATACCACGATTGAGATAGAGGTAGCATTGTTGATGTTGAATCCTCACTTGTGTTTTCTGTTGTAAAAATATGCAAACATTTTGTTACTTTCAAAAATGCAACTTGAACTACTTAACTTGAATAAATTAAACATCAATTAAAAGAACATTAACAAAAAGCTTGTTCTTACATGTTAATCACAAATGAAAAAGAAAAACACAAAGTTTATCATGTTTAAACGTAGTTTAAACAATTTTTGAACCAAATAGAAATTGCTTAAACACACAAATCTTAAAGCTCTGTCACTAAAGAAACTGTTAAAACAAACAACTCTAAAGTAACGCAAAGCCGATCAAAAAGTTTGAAATTTTGAAAAAATTATAATAAAGAGGGCCCCGTAAACAACCCTGTCTTTAGACATGGTTATAAAGTAAACAAAAACTATTCATACCTGTCGACGATTTTAAAGAAATAGAACTACGTGTTGGACTAATAAACGAATTGTAACTCAAACTGGTTGTTAAATAACCATGTGATGCTAAACTTCTTAAAGAATAAGATGAGTCGATTTGAGCGAACCCATCAACAGTTGTTAGAGCACTAGTGTACCATGTTGGATCATAATGCTTGATTGTAGTCAAAGAATCAGACGTCTCTATCGAAGAAAAAATCAAGAAATTATCTTTGTACTTTTAAGTCTAGATGAGGAAAACAATTTTATTTCACTCATAATTTAACACTTCAACTTATGATAATCAAGTACCTATTAAATTAAAAGGTACAAAAAATATATAGCAGTTTGAATGAAATATCTAAAGAACCATACAATTTTTTAGCACATATCTACGAAAAGCCATTGGTATACTATAAAATAGATGGTACTTTCCTATTCAAGGTTAAAAAACACTCTATTAACTAGTGAGTGCTTAATGCTGTTTTCATAAAAATGCAACTCTCACAGTAAATAAAAAAACTCTAATACAAAATACAAACGCCATCTTCTAAAAAAAAAAGTCTTAAAGTGAACAACTCCAAAGCATTGTATAGAAAATCATATAACTATTAAATAAAACATAGCACTTGCAGAGACAGTTTTCAAAAGGGAACTTACACACCAACTATGTTACAAAATAGAGTACAAATTCATAAACCACTCCGAATATTTTATAACTTATTCAACTATGTAAACATAAAAAAGAAATTCAACGAACAGTATATCAAATAAGATGCCTCCTATCAAAACACTAAAACCAGCAAATATAAAACTAATTTCTTTAAGAGTGACAAAGGTTTTCTTAAAAAACTTACTCAATAAAACATAAAAACGATAAAAACCTTTCTTTGTTGTAAAAACAGCTGCATTTGTCGTTCCGACATCAATTATGGGTGAAATTGCTGTTGTTCTTGTGGAATCACATATACGAGAGTGATGTGTTGAAGTTATCGCTGTCAAATAACAAGATGGATAAGAACTATAATCTGTTGTCAATCCGTCAGTATACCACGATTGAGATAGAGGTAGCATTGTTGATGTTGAATCCTCACTTGTGTTTTCTGTTGTAAAAATATGCAAACATTTTGTTACTTTCAAAAATGCAACTTGAACTACTTAACTTGAATAAATTAAACATCAATTAAAAGAACATTAACAAAAAGCTTGTTCTTACATGTTAATCACAAATGAAAAAGAAAAACACAAAGTTTATCATGTTTAAACGTAGTTTAAACAATTTTTAAACCAAATAGAAATTGCTTAAACACACAAATCTTAAAGCTCTGTCACTAAAGAAACTGTTAAAACAAACAACTCTAAAGTAACGCAAAGCCGATCAAAAAGTTTGAAATTTTGAAAAAAATTATAATAAAGAGGGCCCCGTAAACAACCCTGTCTTTAGACATGGTTATAAAGTAAACAAAAACTATTCATACCTGTCGACGATTTTAAAGAAATAGAACTACGTGTTGGACTAATAAACGAATTGTAACTCAAACTGGTTGTTAAATAACCATGTGATGCTAAACTTCTTAAAGAATAAGATGAGTCGACTTGAGCGAACCCATCAACAGTTGTTAAAGCACTAGTGTACCATGTTGGATCATAACGCTTGATTGTAGTCAAAGAATCAGACGTCTCTATCGAAGAAAAAATCAAGAAATTATCTTTGTACTTTTAAGTCTAGATGAGGAAAACAATTTTATTTCACTCATAATTTAACACTTCAACTTATGATAATCAAGTACCTATTAAATTAAAAGGTACAAAAAATATATAGCAGTTTGAATGAAATATCTAAAGAACCATACAATTTTTTAGCACATATCTACGAAAAGCCATTGGTATACTATAAAATAGATGGTACTTTCCTATTCAAGGTTAAAAAACACTCTATTAACTAGTGAGTGCTTAATACTGTTTTCATAAAAATGCAACTCTCACAGTAAATAAAAAAACTTTAATACAAAATACAAACGCCATCTTCTAAAAAAAAAAGTCTCAAAGTGAACAACTCCAAAGCATTGTATAGAAAATCATATAACTATTAAATAAAACATAGCACTTGCAGAGACAGTTTTCAAAAGGGAACTTACACACCAACTATGTTACAAAATAGAGTACAAATTCATAAACCACTCCGAATATTTTATAACTTATTCAACTATGTAAACATAAAAAAGAAATTCAACGAACAGTATATCAAATAAGATGCCTCCTATCAAAACACTAAAACCAGCAAATATAAAACTAATTTCTTTAAGAGTGACAAAGGTTTTCTTAAAAAACTTACTCAATAAAACATAAAAACGTTAAAAACCTTTCTTTGTTGTAAAAACAGCTGCATTTGTCGTTCCAACATCAATTATGGGTGAAATTGCTGTTGTTCTTGTGGAATCACATATACGAGAGTGATGTGTTGAAGTTATCGCTGTCAAATAACAAGATGGATAAGAACTATAATCTGTTGTCAATCCGTCAGTATACCACGATTGAGATAGAGGTAGCATTGTTGATGTTAAATCCTCACTTGTGTTTTCTGTTGTAAAAATATGCAAACATTTTGTTACTTTCAAAAATGCAACTTGAACTACTTAACTTGAATAAATTAAACATCAATTAAAAGAACATTAACAAAAAGCTTGTTCTTACATGTTAATCACAAATGAAAAAGAAAAACACAAAGTTTATCATGTTTAAACGTAGTTTAAACAATTTTTAAACCAAATAGAAATTGCTTAAACACACAAATCTTAAAGCTCTGTCACTAAAGAAACTGTTAAAACAAACAACTCTAAAGTAACGCAAAGCCGATCAAAAAGTTTGAAATTTTGAAAAAATTATAATAAAGAGGGCCCCGTAAACAACCCTGTCTTTAGACATGGTTATAAAGTAAACAAAAACTATTCATACCTGTCGACGATTTTAAAGAAATAGAACTACGTGTTGGACTAATAAACGAATTGTAACTCAAACTGGTTGTTAAATAACCATGTGATGCTAAACTTCTTAAAGAATAAGATGAGTCGACTTGAGCGAACCCATCAACAGTTGTTAAAGCACTAGTGTACCATGTTGGATCATAACGCTTCATTGTAGTCAAAGAATCAGACGTCTCTATCGAAGAAAAAATCAAGAAATTATCTTTGTACTTTCAAGTCTAGATGAGGAAAACAATTTTATTTCACTCATAATTTAACACTCATAATTTAACAATTTTAATTCACTCATAATTTAACACAAAAAAAAATTAAAAT